TTTTGTGCCCTGACCAGACCTAGTCAGTTTACAGAGGTACAACTCAAATAAGAAAATAAACGAGGTCTCCAATCTCATCATTTGGTCTGCAAGTATGATTTGCTTGGCAAATAGACTTTAAACACCCTGTTGGGGTGTTTGGCTGTCATATGGGAATCCAACAATTGTGACTTTTCCACAAACCATGAGTAACAAACCATGGTTAAACTCGGCCAGTGTCTTTCACTAGGTCATATTTTACAGAGCTATTGGGAGTTTCTCTTTTCGTGTTGTGTGTTTGGGTTCTGCTTGTAGGATGATAGTTCAGAATCCCACAAGGAAATTTTTTTTGCATCATCCATAAAAAAGTGCTTTTGATCTCCGCGTCATTTGGCAGTACTGACCTGAATTATTAATAGAGGACAATTGGCTAGAAAATAATATTCCTGCTGTGTTTGGAATCAGGTTTGCAATTTTTTTTTATTAGAATAGATCCTAAGGTGAAGCACCTATATTTCATCTTTGGGCACAGTCAGTTTTTTGCTGATGGAAATGTGATTTTTTACTTGGCAGGGTTTTGATTCAGGCGTCTGATCTCTGGGTGTGTGTGTGTGTGTGTGTGTGTGTGTGTGTGTGTGTGTGTGTACATGCCATAATGTTGAGGATTCCTGTGGCCTTGAAATAATTTGAGATGTCCTAAATAGCAACTTCAAAGTTAGCTTGGTATTTTGATATTGCTGGAATAATGTGAATTGTGGGTATCCTGAGAGATAAAGAAAAAAAAAGGCGAGAAAAAAATATGGTATAGATTTCTAGAATAATTTGAAAGAATCGTCTGAGTTCTTAGTTCTTTGGGAGAAATTATCCAAGGTAACTTTTTATTGTCTTGTTTTCCGTTTTTTTTCTTATGAATTAAGCACTTTTCTTTCTGGTACGAAGCTCTAAGTCTGAGGATCGTTTTAAGGAAGAGCCACTCCTGAAGTTGAGAAGAAAGTTCAGAATGAATAAATTCCCCTGCATCTCCCTCATTGTTTAAAGTGACTCTGGACTAAATGAACATAGAAAAAAAAATTAAGGATGAATCTTTGCAAAATGATTATATATTTTAATCACCAAGCAGCTTTTGTTGGTGGAATGCATTTTGGTTCATCTCTGTCTCCATATGCTGGCATAAAACCTCTACACCAAGCTCTTTGCTTTGAGGGAGTCAAAGTTATATTAACTTTTTTTTTCTAATTTAAATCACTCTGAGGGCTTTTAAAAATAGATCTGGCAATTTTGTTTTTGTTGTTGGTGTTATTAAACTTGGCTGTTCTTTCCCATAAAAACCAGGCACGCACTACACACAAACTCTGGCATTTGGCTAAATGAATTGCGCTGCTGCTGCAAGCAACATAATGAGCGAGCGTCCGTGAAAAATACGACCTTTCATAACTGCCATTATTAGAGCTTCCGAATGAGCAAACATGCAATTTTACAAAGAGCGTTATTAATATTTAAACATGCAAAATGAAACTGTCACTAAATGCTGGCTTTTCATTATCTTCTGGAGAACATTTTCATTCCCAGGAATTTAAATTGCTATGGGCAGGAAGGCAGTTAGCTTATTTATTTATTCGCTTTTTGAAACAGAAGGAACTCTTTGAGAACCATGAATTGGTGGAAAGGTTGGTGAAGGTATGTTTTTCACTGGATTTCTTCCCTAGTGACGATTAATAGTCTTGCAGATTCTTTTGTCAAACAAAAAGGTGAGCAGAAAAAGAGAATCACATAATAACAGAGTTGGAAGGGACCTTGGAGGTCCTCTAGTCCAGCCCCCTGCTCAAGCAGGAGACCCTATACCATCCCAGTCAAATGGCTCTCCAGCCTCTTCTTAAAAACCTCCAGTGATGGAGCACCCACAACTTCTGGAGGCAAGTAGTTCCACTGGTTAATTGTTCTCACTGTGAGGAAATTTCTCCTTAATCTTAGATTGGATCACTCCTTGAATAGTTTCCATCCTTTGCTTCTTGTTCTGCCTTCAGGTGCTTTGGAGAATAGAAGAATGTTGATATCTGACAGGTTATTCCTCTAAAAATTATTGTCTAATCCAGCAAAATTCAGAGGGGCAGCAGGAAAAAAAATATTATAAGGAAATTACAAGAACTCAAGCAGCCAAGCCGTGTTCTACTGAACAAACCACACTTGCCAGGAGTTGCACCCTCTATTAAGACCTAAACTATATTTTAACAATGACAATGCTCAGGTCCGCTAATCAGTCAGACCCCAGGGGCCTGGCCCAGTGTGTAAACACACTCTGCATGCAGGTCAGATGGTCCTGTACTAGCCTGGCCTGGATGTCCTCCACTGCACAGATCTGGTCTGGGTTGCTTCTTGAGAGTAACAAGGGAGCGAAAACCAGGCATTGTGGTGTCTTTTTCAGGAGTCCTTATCTTGAATTCTTCTTGCAGAGCTTTAGGCTTTGGGGGGGGGGCAGGGAGGGTGCAGCTTGTTCTGTCTTCAAAGTGTTGGTGGATGTCAATCTCTTGCTGATTATACCATTTGAAGAAGTTTCAGATCTACTCAGCCAAGTGGTTGGTTTGGAGCTGCTCTTATCTGGTCTAGTAGTATTGTCAAGGGAAGAAGAGAAGCATCTTTCTAAGGTGTCTATGCAAATTCTGGTTCATCTTGGGTCACTGGTATATTAAGGACAAGATCGGCTTGTGATATTAGCTCTTCTAATTGGCTCATTGTGGAACTGTCATGTCATCCCTCCCTGACAGTCCAAGTTCTCATGTCTGAGGCTTGCCAACAAGCCCTTCAAACTATTGACCTATATCAAAGGGAAAGCTTACTTGATTTGTTAGGCATTGTCAGGACCTTGGAGAGCACTTAAGGGTGATGTGTTAGATGGTTTTGCCTGGAACAGGATCAATGTTGAGTTTGAACATCGTGCCCACCTGTGATCCTGCTTAATCCTGCTTTACTCGAGCCATCCAATGTTGGAAGTTCACACAACGCATTGAACCATCAGCCAAACACATGGGTTGGCTCATATGTACAGGTAGTCCTTGACTTACGACTACAAGATATTGTTGTCGGAGTCAGGCTCGATTTGACAACATTTTTTTTGCCATGGTTGTTAAGTGAACCACATGGCTGTCGTTAAGTGAACCACATGGCTGTTAAGAGAATCTGGCTTCCCTCGTCGACTTAACTTGTTGGAAGCCAGCTGGGAAGGTGGCCAATTTTCAAGGACTTTGGAAAAAAAAGTCTCTTACACCAAAGAAAAATCTGGATGAAAAGAGGGGCATAAGAACCAACTTCTCTCTCCTAAAGTGAAGTTTGGTTTGATTTGATTCATTGGTGGGATAAAGCACCACAGGGGGTCCAAATTACCCAAAAAACGTGAAACAAAAAATAGCATCCACATCTGGAGGACCTTCTCCCTTGATTCGTCTCCTTCTTGGTCATCTTGTGCGCCTCTTTTTTCAGGCTCCAAAAAATCAGAGAGCTCAGCAGGAACATGGGAGCTGAGAGAAACCATATTTGTCCTGAGTGGATCGTTTTCCCTCCAAATTTCTCTCCCACCCCATGCAACCGAGAGGATAAATGCCGGATTAATTTTGTGGCTCCAACTTCGCCTCTTTTCTGGGCAAAGATTTGTGGTGCCAGGGAGATTTTCCACCAACCGGGAATTACGCAGTGCATTTGTCCCCAAGTTCAAAGCAACGTTTACCTCCCCCCCCCAACTCCCCTTTGCTTCCAATGTTTCCTGGCCTTTGACCCCTTTGACCCCCTTAGCCTGCTTCTCTTTTGAGGTCAACATCAAAATAGAGATGTGTGTTTCTCAAGACTGATCATGGCTGTGACTCTGGAGATTTTAAAAGCCCCGTTTGGTCTCCCCATCTGTCAAAGAGTATTTGAAACTCTATTGCACTTCTATTCTTTTGGACAAGTGTGAAAGTGGGGGAGGGGTTTCCCCCCTTCCCCTTCTTCTGTTTTTCCGGGGAATGATTTGATCTTTTTAAAAGTGTTTTTGCTGGAGTCTCTCCCGTTAAAGAGATCGTGATTGCAGCGTGAATAGATCAAACACCCCTGAGATGAGGTTGAAGCTTTAATTTGACAAGATGGGACATTCTTATCTGGGACAAGATGGAGAAAGGGAGGAGGTCAGAGCAGTATGGATTTTTATTTCATGCTCCTCATAGTGAACCAATCCATGAAATTAAGAATAATGGTTTGCTTCATAAAGGGAGCTCACCTTGTGAGGAACTATTTAGGCAGCACTGAATTTCATTATTGAGTGTAGTCTGGCCATATAAATTTTATAGATAGATAGATTGACTGATTGATAGACAGACACAAAGACAGGTAGATAGGTAGGTAGATGATAGATAGATAGGTAATACATAAATGATAGATAATAGATAGATGATAGAGATAGATAATAGTTAGATGATAGATATTAGAGATAGATAGATAGATAGATAGATTTGATTTTGATTTTGATTTTACCTAGCTGCTTTTTGCTATATCACTTGTATTCCCACAACATACTTCAACAGTATAGAGGAAGTTCTGGCAGATCGATGCTTGCAACATACTTGAAAAGGATCTAGCTTTTGCAAAACGTTTGGCCATTTAGATATTAATCTAACTGGGGGTGGGGGTGAGACCTTTCCAGATTTGCACCCCATACCAAAGTGGTGACATCCTAGAAGACACCCATAAGGTTCCAAATTACTTTGGCTAGACAAGCGGGCTAAGAATAATAGAGTGCAATTTAATAGCAACCAACCGCCATAAAATTCAAGGTTTAAGATGGGGAGCTTGGTAACCATTGAATCAGATGGCCTCGTTAACCCTTTTGTAAAGTCTGCATGCTTTGTAAACAACTTAGTATACCCTCCTAAGTGCAGCCAGCTTGGGCAAGACAGAGTGGCACCAAGCGCCTACCAGTGATTTTACTCAAAAACTGCTTGTCCTAATAGCTGTTTTCCAATTATTCTTTCTTTTTCTTTTCAAAAATTAAAATCTAGCGGTGAGATCTTTGCCTGGATTTTCATTTTCTATGAAATCTCCCATCTGCTCAGAAATGCACAGCATTTGAGATCTCTAGATACCGAGGCTTAGTCACCTACTTGGCAAAAAAGATTCTCCCAAGTGGTAAGAAATGTTTTAATTTCTTCTGGAATGTGTGGAATTCATGAAGTCTCCTTCAAGCTTTGGGCGATTCCACCCTATTCTCCAGCCCAGCTTTTTCTGACATCCAGATCTAGTTACACAAAGCATCCCCGTTGCTAAAGACATCACATTTATCTAGAATACACAAAAAGGCATATCAGTTGTGTCCTTCTTGGATTCCTTATTCACTCAATGCAGGTACAAGTTGAAAGTTGTACAACTTTGTGTTTAAAGGACAGCCACAAGGAGGTAAGATTTCCCTTAACTGGTAAGAAGGTTAAAAAAAAATGTCAGGGTGATTGCTGTTGATGTAAGACTAAAGTCTGCTTACTTTTTACATGCATCACAACATACACAGACACGAAACCAGGGTTTGGATCATGTGATCATGTCTGCCATCTTGGTTTTTTTTACAGCCTTCCTACCATGGACATCTAGTGTCTTTCACACATCTTGGACTGGATCTCCAGCTAGTACCAAAACCAGCCTTTGGCACTGAAGTCCAACAGAATGGAAGAGTATCTATTTGACTATAACCATAATTTGATGAGTAAATCACAACCGATGGTTTTGTTCAATGTGTTATGTTGCCAGTCATGATTTACAACCTCAGTGGGTGGGTTTACACTCTTCCTCAAATTGTACAATCATTCGGTTTTGAGCAAACCAACTTGAGGGTGAATTGATAAAGTTTCCTGCATGGACCACACTTGTCCGGCTTTGCCCAATGTGCCAAACCCCAAGCCATGGTTTATAAGCCATCACATCTCACTTAAGAGAGAAACTATGTAACGTCGTAGCATCAGATGTCAGATGTGGCTCAAAGGAAGACTTTTGACACTCTGCATTGGGAGAGATGGCTTGCCATAACTCCGTTTTGCAAATGCAAGTCGAGATCATTCGTAGAAGGAGAACTAATCATGGTTACATTTGCACTAAAAACAATCTTTCTATCTGTTTGCTCCTAGGGCAGATGGGGGTGGGGGTTCAGGTCCTCCCAACTCCCAAGGGAAATAAAACAATTTATGGCTCTTTCTCCCTTCCACTTATTGGACAATATGTCTCCTGCTGTTCAAGAGGAAATGGATGAGAAGAAAGTGTCGTTCTTACACATTTGGAACATTAAATTATGGGAGGAATCACACCCCCACAGATCATTTTTGAGGGAGCTCTTCTGAGGGTATCGGGAGGTTGAATTTCAGGAAGCAAAATGGGGAAACCTTCTGCTTTTTGATAAATTTGTAAATCTTTATCATGATTTTTGAATTTGGCACCACGAAAGGTTTTTTTTTTTTTTTTGTAACTTTCAGGACATACTCAGATCTTTGTGTCTGCACAAAATGAGTCTTCATTGTCCACTTTATATTCCCTCCCCTTCTCCTGCCCCCCCAAAATACTGGGAAGAGAGAGGAAGAAATCTTAGTTGTGGACAGTTTTCATCTTTTGCATAAAACCTTGCACACATCCAGCCTGTGTTTTGAAACACTGTAACTGGAAACATGTGGCTGCGCTCCAGTTCTTAAACGAAAGCTGTTAGCATCTGTTTTCAGTTACGACGTACATAACATCGGAATACAAGGCAGCAGACGTTGGTGATAAAACCAAGTGGCATGGAGATTCAAATTTATTTGGAAGTCTGTTTTCACTTTCTGCCCTTCAGAGGGCTTCTTGATCTATATTAAACATCATACTAGCCTGTTTTGGCGCTTCCCTGCAACTTAGATGGACTCGGAACAAAGAAAACCAAAGTACAAAATATGCAAAAATTCTACGACTCTGCAGCAAATAAAAGCAAAATATTAGCCCAGGCTTTGGTGAGAAACACCTGTCTAATGAAGCCAGTTCTGTTCATGTCATGAAGGGAATATTGGATTAGAGTTTCCTTTGGCTGAACAAACCACGTTCCGTCCAACTCATCCACTGAGTTGGTTGACTCACTGCATTTTGGAAGAAGTGAAGTAATCCTTGACTTACAACAGAGGTCCTCAAACTTGGCCACTTTAAGACTGTGGATTTCAACTCCCAGAATTCCCTAGCCAGCCATGCTTGAGAACCCCTGACTTACAACCAGAATAGGGGCCACCATTTCTGTGGCTAAGCAAGGCAGTTAAGTGACTTGCATCTGATTTTATGATCTTCCCGTAGTCCTCACCAAGTGGTCCTTCAATTAATTAACCAGGTTGGCTTTTTTATCCTACTCAATATTTGTTCCCATCCCTTTCATATCAGAGGATAGGCAAAAACTACCAATGGTTAATATCCAGGACAAAATGTTTATTGTTCAATACCTCTTCACACCTGGGAGACCTGCTCAGGAATGTAGGAACTGAAGAATGACACATCTTTTATCCCTGTTCAGTTGCAAGAAATTGCACTGTGAATTTGGCCTATTATGCAGGGTTTTCTTTTTTTTCTAGGAGTAATCATTGAGGCAGCAGGATGTTCAAGATGCTTTCCGAAAGCCATTTCTCCCTCTTTTCAATGTGGCAATTTACAAACTCAGTAGCTGCACAACCTCACAGAAATAGATTTGCTGCTCTGTGGGTGTGGAATTGACTGCTTCATTCTTGCAACTCGAATCTGAAATTGGGCGGCAAAGGAAGGTCCAGATCACTGAAATAAATAAGGTTGCTCCAAAGATAGATCCACAGGCTGAAATATATGCAGCTTCTTCCTTTAATCCTGGATCATTGTCTGCAATGTGCATTTTCTCTGGGGTCTTCAGATATGGTGATGCTTGTTGTAAAAATGGGATGTCAACATTTGCCTCGACTTTTCCTGAAGGTGTTTTTTTTTTGGAGTGTTTGATGTCTCACTGCTGTTTCCTGAACTGCCACCCAATCTTTCAGGATAAGCAAAAGTAAACTTTGCAAAGAAAAATGTTGGGAGCTTTGAGCACATCTCTGCGAAACATAGCATCTTTGATGGGTGATGGCCCAAGTTTCAGCATGCAAAATACGAGCACGGCTATGAAGTGATTGTCCTTTCCCAGCGGCGAAGCCAAGGAGGGTCTTGTTCTTCTAAAGGATGAAAAGGGCTCCTTAATTAAAGGAATAATCTGAACCTCACTGTTTATAAACATGTAAACAAGTTGATTGCAGGCGTGAGCCTGAATTGGTCTAATAAGCACTTGAGGGTGTGTGAATTAGCCACGGTTCATGGACTGTCCATGAGTTAGTTACCAGTAATTTAAAATTAAAGATGTGAATTTCCTAGGTGGCATTCAGACATGCTAATGGGTGCTAGAAGAGAAAGATGGAAGGCCCTTTGAAGACTCCGAGAGTCAAGGAAAGCATAATCTTGCAAGTCTCTGGTTATTTATTTTTTCTTGCATGCAAATGCTCAGCAGAGTCTGCTGATGAAGTCTCTATTTCCTGCCTCGTTGGTCTGGGAAAGCAGATTTCAAGCAGATAATTTTTGGTTTTTAGCCTCACCCTAAGGCAGGTGAAGGAAATCAGGTGCCCGCTGTGCAGAGCTAAGCAGATTTAAGCTCAAGAAGGGGACCATCTTCCCAGTGCCCACGAAATCCCCTTGAATTCACATCACCAGCTCATTTTTTTTTTTTTTTAAGTCTGTTCTGCAGAGAAAGAGAACAGAATAGCAACTGGACAGCAATGTCATTTCCAATTTGAAAGTCCCCTGCTCCGGTTGGGCCATGCAGAGCAGTTCTCTGCCATGTGTCTCAGTCTGGAGTTAGGGGCCTGAATGAAGCCTTCCATCAGCATTAGCCATGGGGGGAGAAAGGGCTGGTGTGTGTGTGTTGAAAGGGGGGGGGAGAGGCGAGCCTTGCACTATCCCAAGTGTAAAAAGGCTGACATTGTGGGTAAAAGTGGGGATTAAATGGGTGAGCTGAAGTTCTGGAGGGTGGGTGGGGGGGATGAGCAGAGAGCTTGGCATCTTGTCCTCAGATATGGCAAAAAGAGGTAAGTTTCCTTTAAGGTGAACGCAGCTCAGGACTTTTTGAACCTGGCTGGGCAGGTCTGAAGGATAAGAAAAGCCTGGACAGACAAAATGGTGTGGGGAATTCTTTCCCTGGCATGGGGTTGGTTAAGGAGGCCACCAAGGTCTTTTCCAAACTTGTGAGTCTACAAATATGGATGTGCTTGCTTACAAGCCCCCATTCCAAAGTCAGCTGAGTGTTATCACCAGTTGAGTGTTGGATTCACACAACACACATCCAAGTGGTGCAAAGAAGTTCCCGCCCCTATATTCTGCTTAGCTCAGTCTTGTGCCTGGTCCTGATTCTCTCATCAGTTTAGAATCATTTTGAAAGCAAACCTGAAAGAGAAACTCAGGATATTTTCCCGTTATTGCAGAGGGGAAGACTGAGCAGGAATAAACAACTCATTCTTGAATAATAATAATGGGAAAAAAAGTTCTGTTTCTTTTTAGCCTTGCAATGATTGAAAAAACTTGCACTTTTACTTGGGGAGTGTTTATGTTTTGGGTAATGTATTTTTAATTTTCTTTTGAGCTTGAAAAGAAGAAAGAATTAAGGATGTTTGGCTCAAGGCATCAGTGGAAATATTCAAAGCCATCCTACCAAGGCCTGCCTCAGCGTGGCAAACTGCAAAGTAATGCATACCAGTCAGAGCCACAGAAAAGAGAGAGAGAGAGAGAGAGAGAAAACTACAGAAAGAAATCCATAAAACCATTTGGGTTTGTATCTCTCTGTGTGTGCACATAAGCAAAGATATATCAATTTTAGCTAAAATTAATATTCCTGTTCAAAGTATGAATCTCTCCCTGTTCTAGAAGAGTCCATCTGGAAAACATCTGCCATAATCCTATTGAGATTTAATTTGAAATACCCCTGTCCCAAAAGAGTACTTCCATCCATTCCTTATAGGAAACAGTAGACAAATCCCATTGACAACAGCTAACCACAGTTGAAATGAGGGATTCTTGTTGCTCTCTGAGCTTGGTTGTTTTCTTGCAGATGTTTCATTACCCAAACTAGGTAACATCATCAGGCCTAATGATGTGAGATCCCAGTGACTAGCACTGATAATGTTACCTAGTTTGCGTAATGAAATGTCTGTAAGAAAACAACCAATTTCAGAGAGCGCCAAGGACCCCACGGTCCTCTTCCTCCTTTCTGCAAACCCCTCTCCTGCTAACACTGATGATGTTACCTAGTTGGATTATGGAATGTCTGCAAAAACAAAACACCAAGCTCAGAAAGCACCAAGAAACCCTACAGTCGTCCCCCCCCCACTTCATTCCACACATCCCACTCCTTCCTAGCACTGCTGATGTTGGGTAATAAAACATCTGCAAGAAAACCACTAAGCTCAGAGAGCACCAAAGACCCCTCATTTCAACCCTGAACTACAAATGTTCTCCTGTATTGGTTACAAGAAAAATTTGGATGACAACCCAATCATAGGATCAAAGCATATCCCATTTCATGATGGTGGTGACTGCCATTTTTTGACACCCCAGGATCCTCCTGCCTGCGGGCCTCAATCATGGCTTTTTGACCGTGCTCTTCATGACAACCTTAGCTAGGCAACAAGATCTATAAACTGCAGTGGTACACAAATAAAGGCTTAGTGTGAGGTGTGAATCCAGTTTCTGAATCTGATGTTTCCCAAAGCTTGGAAAAACTACATGCCAGGATTTCTTGCATTCCTGAATCAAATTATTTGGATCCTCCCCAAAGTGAAATCCATGGAGGGGGGCCCTCTCAGTCCCAAAATTTGGGAAAATAGACTCAGAACAAGGCATTTGGGAAGACAATGGAACAGGTTGGCGCGTGTTACATTTTCCTCTCCTCGGGAGAAGAAAACCTAAGCCTACCAGCTCCTGGGGTCTCTGGAGAGAATCTGTCATCTTTGCAGATGTGAAGAGCTATCAGCAATGTTAATGGGACTTACATGTGTATCAAGTTGGGATCTAGACTCTCATGAGATCCCTTGGGAACCAGATCTAATGTATCAGTGACATGTAATTACTGGGCCAGCCAAAATAGAATCTGATGTCTCTGTTAAATGCCATTTATTGTCAGTATTATAGAAAAGATGGCTGTGTTTGTGCGCCATTTTTCAACCCTGTGGCTAATGAAATAGCATCATATAATGAATTGCTGTGTGATTTCAGCTATTGATTACTTAGCCATGGTTTATGATTTAAAATATGGCTTAAACTCTGCCAGTTATACTTTACTGGTAGCTGTGGTTAAGCAAACAATAGCTGATTATGTTAAGTGACTGCAGATTACTAATTTTTCCCCCACTGTTGTCAATTCTTGTCCACCAACAGTTTCAAAACCAGCTATTCCAATGACACTAACATTCAGCCTCTAATCCAGAATAAAGCTTTTTTAAACATTTTGATGGCCAATCTACTTTCTTTCAAAGGCACTTGGGAGCAAATCTGATGTAGATCCATATCTAAAGAGAGGACCTAATCAATAATGTAATGGGGGAAAAAATAACTTGTTCATCCACTAGAAAAGTTTAACCTAACATGAACTCTTATGACCTCTGAATAAATGGGAATCTCATCAAATCTTCCTGTTTTTTTGTTTTGCCTTGCAACACTATTTGTTATTGGTATCAGAATGACAATAAATCCACTTGGCCTTGTGGATTAGATTTGGGAGCCAAAACAAAAGGGGAAGATTAGTAGAAGGGAAGACTGATCAGGAGGGGGAAATGGCTTAGCTGAAAGCTGGGAAGACAAGATTCCACCTCTAAACAAGAGCATTAGGGCTGTCTTTTCTTCCCTTTATAAAAGTGTGACTCACTGCCCATTGTTTCAGAGGCCCTTCCAGGAGGTTTCAATCTGAAATGGCGAATTGCAGACATGGTGTTGTTAGGGAGAGTCACCATTATGGTGTCTGCTTGGGAGTGACCGAAAAAGAACGGTTACAGAAAAAAGAAATCCCTTACATTCTTTAAATTATGGAAGATTATATAGCTTTCTGCTCAATTTTGCAACAAGAAACATACATGATTTTCTTTGGGATGGCACAGGGGCTTCTCCCATTCTGGGGTGCTCCAGCTGTGTGGGAGGTGAACTCCGACATATGTAGAGGGCAGTTTGTTAATCCTAAAAGTATACTATTCACCCAGTGTTTGCAATAAATCACGAGAAGCTGTGATCCATCTGGAGTTATATAACTCCTTTAAAGTTCAGAAAGTGTAATCTCAAAGGAGATGACCATAGGACACTTCTGGATGGATTAAATCAGACTTCCTAAGCATCTGGCGGTGTTTCACACTCAGCTTCAGCTTGGTGAAGGCTGCTGGCACTCCAATTTGGAGAACCTACCCCATCCCAAATGTCTTCTGGGATGTTTGCTGAGATGGAGTCCTGGTCCCGACCCTGGTCTTGCTTGAATTGAGTTTGGAAGCAGACTGGAAGAGAATGCGGACCTGTAGCCAGTTGGTTACAAGGCTGGTGTAATTAATTTGGAGCATATTACTCAAATCAGTTCCTAAGTGTAGGGATCTATGCCTCTTTGTTTGTGTGTGTGTGTGTGTGTATGTGAGAGAGAGAGAGAGAGAGAGAGAAGGAATCAATTCATTCAACCTCAACCTTTTGGAGACAAAGGAAAGGTCGGGAATTCTATCCTCTTCTTTTGAAATGGGAGCTTGACAAGGACAAAGCCTCAACTCCTACTGTTCACTTGCTTTTATGGTGTTAATATACTGTCCACAGAAAGAGAAGAGGCCAGGAATTGCCTTGGGTCCACCTCTGGATTGGGCCTTAGTTCTGGGCCTTCCTTCCCCCCAGAGCTGGTTGCTTTGAAGAAGCCTGGGGTTATGCAAGAATATCCTTCTCTCTGCCACCTCCCTCCCTTCATTTCTGTAAGATGAATGGGTGATAATTTGCACATATAAGGCTTTAGAAATGTAAAATATTGGCTTCTAGTGATCTATTTACCCCAATATTCCCAATTCTGACCACAGCTAAACTGGATCCTATAGATAATATCCAAGGCTTCATCATCCCTTTAGATGGATTTTAATCCTGAAGCCAAATCCGGAGAGGATAACCCATGAACAAGAAGATGCCTTCAACGCAAGAATGTCCTCTGCAAAAGAGAAGATGTCTTCCTTCCTTCCTTCCTTCCTTCCTTCCTTCCTTCCTTCCTTCCTTCCTTCCTTCCTTCCTTCCTTCCTTCCTCCCTCCCTCCCTCCCTCCCTCCCTCCCTCTCTCCCTCCCTTCCTCCAAAATGTCCTTGGGGGGCTCCTTCCAAGTGCATTGACATGAATGAAGCCATGCCATTAAAGATATCAAGTATGATTGGTTTTTTTCCCAAAGCACCAGAAGGCAAGATGAGAAACAATTTTGGTGGAAACTAATCAAGGAGAGAAGCAACCTGGAATTAAGGAGAAACTTCCTAACAGCGAGAACAATTAACCAATGGAAAGACTTGCCTTCAGATGTTGTGGGTTCTCCATCACTGGAGGTTTTTTATTAAGAAGAAACTGGACAGCCACTTCTCTCAAACTGTACAGGGTCTCCTGCTTGAGCAGGGGTTTCCACTAGAAGACCCCCGAGGTCTCTTCCAGCTCTATTCTAATTGATTGAGGAGAGCAGGTTTAATGTGTCCTCCACCCAACTTTTCTCTAAATTTCCCATTGAAACTCTATATTTTAATTTAGCTTATCCAATTAAGATGTTCTCCCTTATCCTCCTGACTCCAAACAATTTTTTTTTGCTTCCGATCTCTAATCTGCTCTTGGGATCGGAGGGCAGGAGCACCCATTT